GTCACGGACACTACGTCCATGTTTTTATACAGTCTATGGTTCACACCGCTGCTGGCGAGAGCGTCAAAATTCGCTCTGGTCGCCCTGCCAACAAGGCTGTAGAAAGATTCGTGGACGCTCTGACGATCGAACGCTTGGTCTTGTATTCAAAGGAGCCGCAAAGGAAACAAGCATGTTGATCTTGTACAGACTGACCACAAGTAACGTTCAAGTTAACCTCATTAAATATATTTTAAATGTAAGAAATTGATCGATGGAAAGAACTTATATATACTAAATTATAGTTACATGTTTGCTAACGAAATAAATCAATAAAAGCCATTTATGGTGTGTTTTTGTGTTCATGATTAAGTGCTAACTTAGTCTAATTTCAACATGCAATTTATAGGAGACGTTTACTAGCTTGGTCTTTAATTAATAATAACATTAATTTGTGCACAGCCTACATTACAAACTGTCCTGGTTGAAGTCTATCTTAAATACAATTGGTCAAACCAGTGTTGTTTTGAGCAAATTAATTGCATTTGTGCTGAAAAACAAGCGTTCTACCGTGAAAATGCTTGTGAACTAATGTGGTCAGAACCAAAGTTTACAGGACTGCCTTCTCTGGAATCCTCTCAAGCGGAGGACTTCTACATTCCAATTGGTTGCCGCCCAACCACGTCATAGCTTATTACCATTGACCTGACATCAACTCTCCTTGACACCCACACCATCCGAAACGTGCCGTTGCTCACCGCCGGCTCACATTGAAAGTGAATGACGGTGTCATGCCGAATTCTGCACCCTGCCAGATTATGCATCCCCTAATATTGGTAGCTTTAGGAGTAGGTGTGGGGGAGGGGTTAGGATTAGGGGTGGGGTTGCGCCGCAAAGATCGGCTGCCGCCTGACAAAAGCAATGCATTCTGGTTAGAACATTTGTCCGACTTTGATTGGTATGGCAAGCCAGAGTATTCACATACGCCTGGTCGGGCGTCTGATTGTACACAGACACGTCAAAAGCTTCCTCTTCGTGTGATTTGCCATAAAAACACGCGTTCTTAACATGCGCTTTGGGTTCACGGAAAACGCGCGTCCTCGACGTGTGATTTGCTGTAAAAACGCACATTGTTGACACATTTTTGACGTGCGTTTATCATAACAGAAATGGGCGTCGAATACGTGCGTTTTGAGTCTGAGAAAACGCATGTTATGAATGTGTAAACAGGCAGTGCAAACGTCTGTTTGAAGTGTCCAAACAGGCGAAAAGAACGTGCTCTTTCCTTAGTGTTCTCAAAACTGCACGTCGAAAGCGTGTGCTCACTTTATAGGGCTTGAGTCTGTCATGTTTTGTCCGCTATATGGGGTATTAAGGTAAGGCATTGCTACCACATACATATTATTTTTTCCTCTCAGTCTTAATGACCAGATGTTATGTCGTTTAAACAACATATTTTTATATTTTATATTTAGATTTTTAACAACAACATATTACAAAGGTTGGTCTGCACTCATTTAGTCTTTTATTGGAATCAAAGCAGGAGATAAAAAGACAAACGTTCTAGGGCTTGAGTCTGTCATGTTTTGTCCGCTATATGGGGTATTATGGTAAGGCATTGCTACCACATACATATTATTTTTTCCTCTCAGTCTTAATGACCAGATGTTATGTCGTTTAAACAACATATTTTTATATTTTAGATTTAGATTTTTAACAACAACATATTACAAAGGTTGATCTGCACTCATTTAGTCTTTTATTGGAATCAAAGCAGGAGATAAAAAGACAAACGTTCAGCTATCTGCCTTCGTCAGTGTGACAATTCTTTGTTTCTTAATGATTATATAGGCTAACAAACGACATACATCAGGTGATTATAGTTAATCAATCAATCAATCAATCAATCAATCCACAGACACTTAAACATCAAGAGTTAAAGGCACAATATGTAAGATTTTTTATTAAAATACCCCAAAACCACTAGAACAGTGTTATATATTTTGCTGACTTGTGTACTTACATTATCCCAAATGTTTCGAAGAATGTTTAAATCCAGAGAAATAAGCAATTTTAACTAGTGACACGGACCGTGTCCATAATGTCATTGTGTCGCCTGCCAATGACGTCATAACCCCTCTGTGTCATGCTCGTTCAGCGGCATCGTTTCACTTCGACGGTTTTCAGCCTCACCCTGCTTCATTCTACTACATTAATAAATCATTAGCTCATCCATGAACATGATTTCTGCCCAAGTCCCGTCAGATTGCATCGGCTGTGGGGATGAAGACGACAACTCCCATGATTCCACACTCAGTCACGGCTTCATCAAACTACGCTGTCATTTTCGTGCTGCATGTTTTAACATAGTACATTGCTAGGCAACGCCTTTCACTCACTGAATTAGCGGTTATCAGTTTCATAAATGAAGACAAAATTTTGCGAATTTTTTGTTTTATTTATGAATGCTGAAGAGGTATAAAAGCACTAAATGCCATGAGCGATGGAAAGTCTGATGGTGGGGAGATAAGTAAAGCGTCCTGTCGGCGATCAATATATCATATTTAGACGTTTTATCCTAATGTTACGCATAATTGTTTGAAATTTGGATTCATTATTTAATTTCTGTTTTGCCTTTTCTATCGTTTATCGTTCGCTTCTGTGATTCTATTTATTCTAGTCTGCCTGTTTCCTGAAGAAAAAAAATCCGATCTGATGTAATGAATAAAACCTTTTTTTTTTTTTTTTTGATTACCCGAAGTTTATTGGTGTATAGTTGATGACTAGACATAATCATTTCATGACTCTAGACACTTCTTTGTGAAGACAGTAGCATAATACAGTGAAATAATATGTACTTTAGCCATTCAAAAACAGCTGTCATGTGCGTGGGTAAAATTTACCTGCTGGTGCTTTTAGGTATACAGCGACCCCTGGCGGTTCTAGTGTTAAACTAGCCAGCTGTTTTTATTGTTGACGTTTTATTCTATTTTTTATATAAATGTTAGTGAAAAGAATAAAAATAAAAAACCTTTTAGATATAATTCTGCATATGTAATGGACATTGGTTATGATAATCTTTGGTATCTACTTTGAAGGCATCATGAGTAAAACTGCTTCATATTTAACGATGCATATGCAAAACGCTTGAACCGGAAGCGGTGAGACCAGGTTAACAGAATACGGAAGTCTGTTGCGCATAACCCCTATTCACCAATCCCTAGCCTTTAGAGTGCATGGCGTTTGACGGTTGTGATGGGAGAAAGGAAGCTTTTCGAAACTCTGAATCAACTGAACCAATGCGTCCCAAAACGATTTACTGTTTCAATGCGCTCAACACATCACAAGGATGGAGCAGGGCTTAAAGTTCTCCGGCACCGTGCTGGATCTCCGTTGAGCGGCGTTTGGCTGCGAGAAAAAGATAGTCGTCCTACATTTAAAAACACTTGTTGATATCACGTTTGAGTTCATGAGTTCGCCTACCAATTTATGAGAGGAACACAGCTTTCACTCTCAACCAAACTAACCAAAACCAAAACAAAACAAAGCAGCCCTAATGCAACATCCACCCCAACCAACACAACAAAACGTCCAGGAGGGTGGAGGACTGGAGGTGGTCCAGGGGGTGGGATGGAGGGCCAGGCCCATGAAGCGGAGCAGGCAGAGCGGGGAGCCATGGCGGACAAGTTACCATTTCTTGGACCATTTTAATGTTTTTGTTGTTGTTAACTGAGCTGAACTGTAGTTTTCTGGAGTAAACTGTCTTTGTATATTTCCTATTTTATATTAATTTCCTAGTATTTAATTGAGAAGCAGTCAGAGACTCACCGCGCCTTCAAAATAATCCAACTGAGGTGCGTAGACCAAAAAAAGTTTCCCAAAGGTGAAGAGCTTGAAAAAAGTCTGCACACTCAAATGTGATCTCTTTAATTATCATGTGATTCCTCAAATTAAGATGGCTCCTAGTTCTAACATTGTTAGCTTGGCATTGAAAATGGTCAACATGTGACCGAAACGTTTGCCTTGTTTCACTCAGTAAATTGCTTATTGTTTTTATCTCGCTTGTGACTCTTTGATGTTCGAGTGTGCAGACT